CCCTCCGATGCATATGAGCGATGTAAAAGAGGCACGGCACTCCCTCGACACTCTGTTGACACATGAAAGACTTGTGTTGACCGTTGTAAGAGAGTGGCTTGTGCATGTTCAGTGAGATGAAGTCACGTTGTCGTGCTATGTCAAAGAACCGTGGATGGCCGTGATGAAGTCACGTTGTCGTGCTATGTCAAAGAACCGTGGATGGCCGTATTACCATATTCAATGCAATGGACACGTTCCACCAAAAAACTTTCTGTTGACGGAAAATTTCGCATTTTTTCACCTATGGCTTCCGATATACGCCAACGGAAACTGTAACAAAACAGGTTCCAAATATCTGGTTAATTGTTATTGATATTTTATTGTTTTAATGACTGACAGATATTCTACGGTATAACACCCGACATTTCACGTACCGCACGCCCTCCGACACTTAAAAAAAAAAAAAAAAAAAAAAAAAAATATTGGGTCGATCGAACTGAGGCTTTGCGGCTAAAATTGAATTGATGCATGATACAATTTGGATTGGAATCATTAAAGAATAACACATCTTCAGCTTTCAATATATTGGGTCGATCGAACTGAGGCTTTGCGGCTAAAATTGAATTGATGCATGATACAATTTGGATTGGAATCATTAAAGAATAACACATCTTCAGCTTTCAAATAAAATAAATATGAATATTAGCACAAAAAAAAAAAAACTTTGATAAGAAAACAAAACAAAACATATAATATAGTGACAATCAAATTTGGTGAAAATATATAATATAAAAAAACACAGAGGAAATGAAGGAACCTTAGAAAAAAACAGCGTCATGCGTAGAACGTAATGGGGATGAAGTGTAATGCATAATCAAATGTTACATTCTATTTAAATGTATGAAAAAATGTAAGCACTGACGGAAATCTGGTTAATAGTATATTAACAAATCATACCACGTTGAAAGCACCGCTTCTCGTCCGATCAGCGAAGTTAAGCTGTTGTTGGCATTTTAATATATGAGCTAAATATATTTTGACTTTCTTTACCACATTTAACAGCTTTTCTTATATTTACATATGGAAATCAAATGAAATTATACGTCAATCAATTCGAAATAGTGTAAAAGTTATCGCCGTCCGAGTGAGAGAGAAGGATAAACAGAAAACGGTTAGGGTATAACTAAAGTAAAGTACAGTACAGTGATAATGATTGTAGTATTAAATGATCAAATTAGTAAATGGTGTTTACACAAAAAAAAAAAAAAAAAAAAATCTGTCGCCATTTACTAAAGGTTACCTTGAAAGGAACAAAATGAGTCATAGTCAATTATTCTTTAGCCCACTTCTGTGGGTTCAAATAAGATATAAGCATATAATTAAAAGGCATACTTTTTCATTGCTATATAATGAAGAATCAATTATTTTTTACCGTCTTCATTTTAGACCAATGGTTTTTACTAGTATATGAAAAGTTTTTCAAATGGCATCGGTGAGAGGGGAAATTTAATTCCAGAAAAAATATTTTCGTTTCAAATTATTCGTAATGTTATACTTTTAGTTTAATATCAAACTGTAGTAGCTGTATACATTTGACTCTCAAACTCGTATAAAGGCGATAAAAGTATAATTGAGTAACCAGTGAACCTAAGTGAGATTTACTTCCCGTAATGGTCGGCTTCTGTAACTAATGAATATAGGTCCAGAAGGAAGGTAAATAATAGGAATTTACAGCAAAGTCAAAGAATAAAGGAAAACTGAATTGTAGATGGACATTGCTATAAATATACAGATTGCTATTTCTTTTCCATATCACGTTGAAGTCGCTGCTTCTCGCCCGATCAACAAAATTAATAGTTGGGTCTGTATTTGGATGAGTGACCGCCTGGGAACACCAGACGCTATTGTTTCACAAAACATGGTAAACATGTTAGCATGTTATGCATTTCTTGAGAATTTCCGTGCATAAGGCAAATATGGACAATTTTATACGAAATTATTCCGTACAAAAACTACATATTAATAGAAGTCACAGAAATCTCGATAACATGTCCACGACCTTAATCTACTATTTCTTTCTATCCGTAAATAGTTTTGTTATAAGTATTACGATCATAAGACGGCCACGATTACAATGATTATTGTCTTTTCTTACCATGATCGCTCTTAAATTCTATCTAATTGTTAACTTGCCAAGTATTACCTTTTAGTGGTAGGATTACAGTTACAATAACTATCAACATTGTTACTGTTTAATCTTTATTCAACTTATCATTGTTTATATTATCATCATTATTAATATGATCATTTTTTATTTACATCAGCCATTACAGTGGCATCATTATTACCATTATCATGACAATAATGATAGCAGCAATAGCCATACGATAAAAAGAGTTATAGTGATGGTGATAATAATAGTAATATACTGTGTGCCCTCATTGATTTGACATCTGTTTGGGTTGACTATATTCTCGTCTTGTACGATGTACATTTACTGGTGAACTGTTCTTCTGGAATTCACCTTACATGGGTTGTTAGTGTGCCTCTTCACACATCCAACACAACTAGATTGTGATAGCAATCATGTTTAATGCAAACACAATAGATACATTCTACTTACAAAATGTATAAAGGGCTTATGCAAGTATTGGCCAGACCCAGCTATTCTTAATTTCGCTGATCGGACGAAAGGCGGTGACTTCATCGTGGTATGACTGTTACGGAAAGAAATAGCAATCTGTATATTCATGGCGATGTCCATCTACGATTCAGTTTTCCTTTACTCTTTGACTTTGCTGTAAATTCCGATTTTAATTGTCTTCCTTTTGGACCTACATTCACTAGTCACAGAAGCCGACCATTTAAGGAAATCAATTTTACTTGGGTTCTCTGGTTACTAAGATACACAGATAACAATTAAATCACTTTCCGGCTCTGGAACTCTACAAGGAATGGTACATAACCAAAGTTTTACAACTGTTACCAAACGTATTGCTAAAACGTGATCGTGAGTGTTTCTTAGAGTTATTTCATTATTACAATGATTTTATGCTTACTGTTTTTTTTTCTATTTTCGTAAACATAATTTCTAATATCATTATTAATAATACAATCATTATCACTTTACTTAAGTTACACTCCTATGCGTTTTCTGTTTATCCTTGTTTCTTCTTTTATACAAATATATGATGAGTTGTTAAGTGTGGTAAAAAAATGTATATTTAGCTTATATAATAAAATGCCAACAGCATCTGGTGTTCCCAGGCGGTCACCCATCCAAGTACTGACTAGACCCAACGTTGCTAAACATCGCTGATCGGATGAGAAGCGGTGCTTGCAACGTGGTATGACCATTGGCACAACTCTGAAGAATATTAACCACATTTCTAACAGTGCTTACAAATCTACATTTGAATAGAATGCATCTATTATTTTGCATTAAACTTCATTACTATTACATTCTAGTTGTGACGGGTGTGTGAAGACACTCACTAACCGCCCATGTAAGGTGAACGCCAGACGAACGGTTCACCAATAAATGTACATTGTGCAAAATAAGAATATAGTTTACTCATACAGATATAAAATCTATAAAGACACACAGTATATCTATATGATTATTACCGTCACTATAACATTTTAGCGTATGATTATCATTATCATTATTGTCATGATGATAATAATGATGCCACTGTAATGAAGAATGTAAATAAATAATGATCATATCAATAATAGTGGTAATAATATTAACATTGATTTGAATAAAAAATGAATAAAAAATCAACAGTAATAGTGTTGATAGTTATTGTAATTGTAATCCTACCACTTAAGGTAATACTTGGTAACTTCACAATTAGATAGAATTAATGAGTGATCATGGGAAGAAAAAAACAATAATCACTAATCGTGGCCGTCTTATGATCGTAATAATAATCATAACTAAACTATTTACAGATAGAAAGAAATTAAGGTCGTGGACATGTTATCGAGATATGTAGGTTACCCAACGTACAAGATTTTGTATGGAATATGTTCATATAAAATTGTCCATATATACTTTAATTAGCGCGGTAATTCTCAAGAAATGCATAACATGCTAACATGTTTAGCATGTATAGTGAAACAACAGCATCTGGTGTTCCCAGGTTGTCACTCATCCAAGTTAATTTTGCTGGTCGGACGAGAAGCGGTGACTTCAACGTGTTATGTCTGTAGGGAAAGAAATAGCAATCTGTATGATTATGGCAATGCCCATCTACAATTCAGTTTTCCTTTAGTCTTTGACTTGGCTGTAAATTCCTATTAATTGCCTTCCCTTTGGACCTATATTCACTAGCCACAGAAGCAGTCCATTAAGGGAAATGAATCTCACTTGGGTTCACCGGTTACTTAAATCATCCATAGACGACAGTATTTTTCCTTCTTTATTACTCTCCGACTCTGGAACTCTACAGGGTACAGAAGCAAAGTTTCAAAACTGCTGCCAAACATATTACTTAAACGTGATCGTGACTGTTTCTTAGACTGATACCATTATTACAATGATTTTATGCTTACTGATTTATTGTAAACATATTTCTAATATAATTATTAATAAAACAATCATTATCACTTTACTTTAGCTATCCACCTAAGTGTTTTCTGAGTTTTCTGTTTATCCTTTCTCAATCTGACGGCGTTGATTGTTATTCTAATTCGTATTGACTGAAGAATAATTTCGATTGATTTCTTTATACAAATATGCGAAAAGTTGTTAAAAGTGGCAAAAAATGCATATATTTAGCTTATATAATAATAAGCCAACTACTACAATTTGATATTAGATTAAAAGTATAACATTGAGACGAAATGATTTGTTCTGGAATTAGGTTTTCCCTCTCATCAGTGCCATTTTACCACTTTTCATATACTAGTTTAAACTAATGGCCTAAATTGAAAAAAGTAAAAAGTAATTGATTCTTCATAATATAGCACTGAAAAAGTAAGCCTTTCAATTATATGCTTATATCTTATTTGAATCCATCGAAGTGGACTAAAGAATAATTGAGTAAGACTCATTTTGATCCCTTCCAAGGAAATCTTTAGTAAATGGCGAAAGATTTATGTGTTTGATTATTAATAACATAATTATTATCACTTTACTTTCAATAGATTTCCATTTACAAATATAAGAAGTGCCGTTAAAAGTGGGAAAGAAAGGCATAATATATATAGCTCATATAATAAAATGCCAACAGCATCTGGTGTTCCCAAGCGGTCACCCATCCAAGTACTGACCAGACCCAACGTTGCTTAACTTCGCTGATCGGACGAGAAGCGGTGCTTTCAACGTGGTATGATCGTTGGTACACGTAAAGATCATAACCATATTTCTATCAGTGCTTACGAAGTTTTATACATCGTTTAAATGGAATGTATCGATTGTTTTTGTATTAGACATCTTTGCTATTACATTCTAGTTGTGACGGGTGTGTGAAGACACTAACCGCCCATGTATGGTAAACTCCAGACGAACAATTCGCTAATAAATGAACACTGAACACGACAAGAATATAGTCAACCCACACACATATAAAATCAATAAGGGCACACAGTATATATATAATTATTACCATCACTATAACCTTTTAGCGTATGACTATTGCTGCTATCAGCATTATTATTGTCACGATAATGATCATAAAGATGTCACTATAATGGCTAATATGAATACGAAATAATCATATCAATAATAGTGGTGATATTAACAATGATAATTCGAATAAAAATTCAACTTTGAAGAGTAATCCCTTTCATTACTATTTCTTGTAATTGTAATCCTACCACTAAAGGTAATACTTGGTAACTTAACAATTAAAGAAAATTTGTGAGTGATCATAGTAAGAAAAGACATAATAACCATTGCAATCGTGGCCGTCTTATGATCGTAATAATATAGCAAAACTAATTACGGATAGAAAGAAATAGTAGATTAAGGTTGTGGACATGTTATCGAGATTTGCCACTTCTGTTAATATGTAGTTTACCTAACGTACAAGATTTGATATGGAATATTTTCATATAAAATTGTCCAATATGCATTATCTAGCGCGGAAATGCATAACATACTAACACGTTTAGCATGTATACTGAAACAACAGCATCTGGTGTTCCCAGGCGGTCACTCATGCAAGTTGCTGATTGGACGAGAAACGGTAAGTTCAACGTGGGTATGACTGTTAGGGAGAGAAATAGCAATCTGTATGATAATGACAATGCCCATCTACAATTCAGTTTTGCTTTAGTCTTTGACTTGGCTGTAAATTCCTATTACTTGCCTTCCTTTTGGACCTATATTCGCTAGTCACAGAAGCCGACCATTAAGGGAAGTAAATTTCACCTGGGTTCACTGGTTACTTAAATCATCCACAGATGACAGTATTTTTCTTTCGTTATTACTCTCCGACTCTGGAACTCTACAAGGAATGGTACAGAACCAGTTTCAAATTGCTGCCAAACGTATTGCTAAAACATGATCGTGACTGTTTCTTAGACTGATAGCATTATTACAATGATTTTATGCTTACTGTTTTTTTTTTTTTTTACATAATTTCTAATATGATTATTAATAACACAATCATTATCACTTTACTTTAGTTATATCCCTATGCATTTTCTGTTTATCCTCCTTTCTCAATCTGACGGTTTTGACTTTTACTCTATTACGTATTGACTGAAGAATAATTTCGATTGATTTTTTTTATACAAATATACAAAGAGTTGTTAAAAGTGGTAAAAAGTGCATAAAATATTTAGCTTATATAATAAAAAGCCAACAGCATTTAGTGTTCCCAGGCGGTCACCCATCCAACTACTGACCAGACCCAACGTTGCTTAACTTCGCTGATCGGACGAGAAGCGGTGCTTTCAACGTGGTATGATCGTTGGCATTGGTTGTAAAAACATAACTTCATTTCTGTAAATGCTTCCAAATTTCTCATATGTCATTTAAAGAGAATGAATATTATGTCTTGGCCTTTAACTCCATTACCACTACATTCTAGTTGCGTACCCGCCTACATAAGATGAAATCCAGACGAACGGTTCAAGAATGCAGGTATGCTGTACAGTTCGGGAATATACATATACAACATTCATATATATACATATAATGATAATTGCAGGTAAAGAAAGAACACTTTTGAAGTTTACAATAGCAAAACGGTCGTAGTTTGACAAAGCGAAGCTCGAATAAAGTTGTGCACTGAATTTTTTTCAAATGAATATTTGAATTGCATGTGATTTTTCCCTTTCAACGTGGTATGATCGTTGGCAAAAAATGAGAAAGTATTAACCAAATTTCAGTCAGTGCTTACATTTTTCCATACAGTTAAATAGAATGTAACTTTTGATTTTGCATTACACTTCATTATCATTACATTCCAATTATGATGCGGGTATCAAGAGAAACACATACTATTCGCCCATATAAGGCGAACTCCGTAGTAAGTTAATAATTAGATAAAATTAGTGATAGTGATGATGGTAAGAAAAAACAATAATTATAGGCCTAGTAATCATGGCCAGATAGAGAAAATGGTTGATTGAGGTCAGGGACATGTTTTCGAGCTTTCTGTCATTTTATCTTCATATGTAGTTTTCTATTGAGCAAGATTTTATTTGGAATACCTTCCCATAAAAATTTGTTTATCTGCTTTATCTGGAACGGAAACTCTGAAGCTATGAATAATATATTTGGCATGTATAGTAAAATACTAGCATCTGATCACCAATGCAAGTGTTGACTAGACCCAACTATTCTTAATTTTGCTGATCGGACTAGAAGCGGTGATTTCAACGTTGTATGATTCCTAGGGAAAGAAATAGCAATCTGTATATTTATGGCATTGTCTATCTACAATCCAGTCTTCTTTTAGTCCTTGACTTTGCTGTAAATTCCTATTACTTGCCTTCCTTTTGGGCCTACATTCACTAGTCACAGAAGCCAACCATTAAGGGAAGTAAATCTTACTTCACTGGTTACTAAAATCATACTCAGACGACAGTTTTTTTTAATCACTTTCCGGCTCTAGAACTCTACAAGTTTCAAATCTACTGCCAAACATTTTGTTAAAACATGATCTTGTGTTTCTTAGACTTGTATCGTTATTACAATAATTTTATTCTTACCGGATTCTTTGTAAACATAATTTCTAATATGATTATTAATAACACAATCATTATCACTTTACTTTAGTTATACCTTATCCGTTTTCTGTTTATCCTATTTTACTCTATTTCGTATTGACTGAAGTATAATTTAATTTTCTTTATATATACAAATATACGAAGAACTGTTAAAAGTGGTAAAAACGCATATTTCATTAGATAATAAAATGCCAGCAGTATCTGGTGTTCCCAGGCGGTCACCTATCCAAGTACTGACCAGTACTTGGATACTTGGATATGTATATATCTATATATGTATATATATAGACATATATACATATACATAATATACATATATACTGTGTGCGCGCAGGTGTGTACATACACACACACGATATGTATATATATATTTATATACAAACACTCATCTTCGATTAACTCGTCGTTGATCTACCATCAAACGCCTGTCATGCCAAAATGTTTTTTATATATTCACATGAAATTATCAAGGGCTCGGGTTAATAGCTACTGCTACAAGTTAAAGTTTGGGGTCTACATTAAAGAAAATTAGGTCAATGTGTAGTATGAGTTAGTGGCAGAGTTGGGTAATAAAACCTACATGAAATGATGGAACATTACAAAGCAAGACAAAGTTCTTCTATGGCAATATGTGAAAATGCTTCCTAAGGCTGCTATGCATAAAAGAAAAGAAAAGTTCCCCCCCGGTCAATATGTAGAGGAGGGTAGTGGGTTACTTTCGAAACAATTATGATATTTTTCTGCATGAAATCCACTGCTTTCAACGTATATATATGTGTATATATGCATGTGTGTATATATTTGTGTACATACATACACACACGCGCGCGCGCGCGCGCAAACACACACAAATATATATATTATATATGTATATGAATATATATACATATATATGTATACATATATATATATACATGTACATATACACACACACATATATATACATATATATATATACATGTACATATATACACACAGACATATATATATACATACACATATACATATATGTATATGAATATATGTATATATGTGTATATACGTATGTATATGAATATCTATGTGCACACAAACACACACACACGATACAAAGCAGCAGAGGAGGCTCTCAAGAGTGTCTACAACTGCCATACATATTTTTCTGCGTATGCCTCCCTTCTCACTCAACTTGACACAATCCAAGATCACAGTCTTCGTTTAGCCCTTGGCGCCTTTCGATCCTCTCCTCTGAATGAGGCCTACCGCCCTTTTCTCGACGTCGTGCTCTTTTGTCTCTAAGAAGCTATTTTTTCTCTTCAATCATCATCGTAAGTCAAAGGCGGGCTGCACCTATAACTCCGGAGATCTCAAGACTCTCAAGATACTAATATATACTTTTCTAATATTAACGTTCGAGATACTTCTCCGACTTGAGGTTCGAAATAAGAAGTATTGATTAAATCAAATTTAAGGTTCGAGATAAACAACTGGTAATCGTTTTATATGGCTATTTGTGCACATAATACCTATATATACTATTGAAAACATACATACATATCACATATGGACATATCCGCATATGTATTAATATACAATCTACGTATAATTCTAGATATATACCATATAGTAAATATACTTATTAACTATAGTACACATATGTGTTACATATATCAATATATATTATATATATATATATTTTTAAACATATAATGTAAGGTAGAAAAACCCACAATGCAAAAATTGTTTCGAAATCTACCTGAGCATGGAATCCATGTAAATTTCGAAACTGAAGTCTCATTTTCAATAAATGTAATTTTTGCGCTGGGTTTTTCTACCATAGTATCAACACGTAAGAGTGTTTTGCCATTCATAATGCAAGGTAAATATAAAGAATTCAAAATATATAATGTAAAGTAAATATAGAATTTTAGATATACAATGTAAGGTCATCATACTTATCAACTATTTTACACATATGTTACGTATATTAGTATACAATCTAAATATAATCCTAAACATATAAATACATATACGTATACTGTATAATCAATTTATATCTTACCAGTTATAGTACACGTAAGTATCTATTACACAATAGACTATTGTAACTGTTTACTACAAAAAAAAACTTCATACTTATATGTGATAATTACTAAATAAGCATTGGGTGTATACATAATCACACACTTTATATAATGGTATAGCTGTTGATCGAAATGCAGTTGCAGAGGTCGATGTGTGGGATGAATAACTATTCGCCATCTCCGTTCGTCACCAGCGGCTGTCAGAAAGAAACGTTTTATAAAATGTGACAGCTAATAATAGATACTTGTAAGGCGGATGCAGGTTTTTCAGTGTAAGGTGGATACAAGTCAATCATTTTATAAGTAATCATCTTTCCATATTCGTTAATAACCTTAGTGGATGCCACGACTGTAAGTCCTTAATTCATCGTCATCGTCGTTATCACTATCATCATCTCGTCGTTATCATCGTCGCCATTGTCGTCAACGTTATCATCTGTGGAATAAAATAAAATAATTGTGTATTTCATGTGTCACATGTAACATAATTCTTTTTCTCTTATATCAATCATATAATATGTACACATTAGCATACATTTTTTCTCTTCTATCATCTTTCTATAGCCATTAATAACCTCCTCTTCATTATCGTCGTCGTCATCATCCTCATCACCACCATCTGTGGGATAGAATAATATTACTGTGTATTCTACTGACTTCTCTTACATGTTACATGTATAATAGTTCTTAACAAATGATCTGTTTCTACCCTTTTCTTCTACACTGAACACGTAATATGTACACAGCATACAGTGAGGCTTACTCACCTAGAATATTGCAGTTGTTTCCTTCAACAGCTACTGGCACTCCTTGTACAAGATATAGTGTTTGTGCCCGTGTTGTGTGTGATATTTTATAAAGATGATTTTTAAAAATACAATTTCTAATACTAAATAAGCATTTTTTTCTATATTAGTGCTTAACATACTTTCATTATATTTACATATATTTATCCATACACCATCCTCATAATTGTATAGCGTATTTTCCTCATACAATTGCTCAATATTTGATGGTGTAATTAGGAGAGCGATGATACATTTAAAAAAGCCAACATCTACAGCAATAGAATATAAATTTAATTATATTTCTAAGCTGATAAACATCAAAGGAACAATTGCTATAAAAATATCATCTACAGATGAGTATGCAGTGTCTCATTTTTGTGTTTATATACGTTTATTTTCTTTCTAATATTTAGTTGTCAGCTCCGTGGCTAGCTCGAGTTGTTTCAACCGAAAATTCCCCATCACCATCAACATTATTACCACCACCATCACCCCTACCTTCACCACCATCACCACTACCACCATCATCACTTATTTTTTCTTAGAGGGGGAGAGAGACTCTAAGTCGGATAACCGTTTAAGAGAGGGACGGACGTGGGTGTTTCGACCCCCTGACGAACCGGGGCGATTAAGTGCTGGCTGAAGAAAAGGTGATGGGTCGGACTGGTTAAGTACATTATTATCACTGACTGTCGATGTGTCTGATTGGTTAAGTACATTATTCATTAATGATCTTGAGATGTCTTGGGGTTGTAGGTAGGGATATTGTTGTGATGCTAATGTATTGATTATCAAAACCTGTTGCTGTTGTGGTTGGTAGTGTTGTTGTGATGGTAATATATTGATTATCAAAATCTGTTGCTGTTGTTGCTGCTGCTGTTGCTGCGGCTGCTGCTGTTGTTGTTGCTGCTGCTGTTGTTTCTGCTGCTGCTGCTGCTGCTGTTGTTGTTTCTGCTGCTGTTGTTCCTGCTGCTGTTGCTCCTGCTGCTGCTGCTGTTCCTGCTGCTGTTGTTGTTCCTGCTGCTGCTGCTGCTGTTGTTTCTGCTGCTGCTGCTGTTCCTGCTGCTGTTGTTGTTCCTGCTGCTGCTGTTGTTGTTCCTGCTGCTGCTGTTGTTGTTTCTGCTGCTGCTCCTGCTGTTCCTGCTGCTGTTGCTCCTGCTGCTGCTGCTGTTGTTCCTGCTGCTGCTGCTGCTGTTGTTGTTTCTGCTGCTGCTGTTCCTGCTGCTGTTGTTGTTGTTGCTGTTGTTGTTCCTGCTCTTGCTGTTGTTGCTCCTGCTGTTGTTGGGTATATTGGCTATCACTCGGGTGGTTATTTAATGATGGATATGAGGATGGGTGGTGCTGTGGAGCCGGTGTCTGTACCTGCACCCGACGGGGTGACGGTGGCCGATTCTGCAGCTGCGAAGGTGTTTGTGTCTGGGGAATATCTCCATTCACCAATTGGAAAAAAGACAAACAATCATCCAATGTTTCCATAAACTCATCTTGTGCTGATGATTCTGTTGATGGTGGTGGCGGTCTGGGTTGTTCTGTTATGCCATTATCAATTGTTGATAATGAAGGTGACCGTTTAACTAATGAATATATTGCTGAATTTACTGTGTGTGACAATTCAGTAATAGGCGCATCTTGAGAGGGCTGGCTTTGATCTCTATATATATCTTCTTTATTAGTTATCGGTGTTGGAATCTGTTCTGGTATTGGTACCTGTAGATTCTCTATCATATTTCTTGTGTCTGAAAGAAAAAAAATATACATTTATATATAACACGCAAACACATACACATTTTTAAAAGTTATCCTTAAAAGAGGCACTCCTAAAGAATCTCTCTTACGCTAATAATATAGAATATGTGAACATAAAGTTAACTTTAAAAACGTATAGAGTAGGTGTACTAAATTACATAGATGTTGATTTATGTTAAAAAAAAGAAAAAAAAAACAAGTACTTTAAAAAAAAAAAAAAAGAAAAAAACAATCATCCAATGTTTCCATAAACTCATCTGCTGTTGTTGCTCCTGCTGTTGTTGGGTATATTGGCTATCACTCGGGTGGTTATTTAATGATGGATATGAGGATGGGTGGTGCTGTGGAGCCGGTGTCTGTACCTGCACCCGACGGGGTGACGGTGGCCGATTCTGCAGCTGCGAAGGTGTTTGTGTCTGGGGAATATCTCCATTCACCAATTGGAAAAAAGACAAACAATCATCCAATGTTTCCATAAACTCATCTTGTGCTGATGATTCTGTTGATGGTGGTGGCGGTCTGGGTTGTTCTGTTATGCCATTATCAATTGTTGATAATGAAGGTGACCGTTTAACTAATGAATATATTGCTGAATTTACTGTGTGTGACAATTCAGTAATAGGCGCATCTTGAGAGGGCTGGCTTTGATCTCTATATATATCTTCTTTATTAGTTATCGGTGTTGGAATCTGTTCTGGTATTGGTACCTGTAGATTCTCTATCATATTTCTTGTGTCTGAAAGAAAAAAAATATACATTTATATATAACACGCAAACACATACACATTTTTAAAAGTTATCCTTAAAAGAGGCACTCCTAAAGAATCTCTCTTACGCTAATAATATAGAATATGTGAACATAAAGTTAACTTTAAAAACGTATAGAGTAGGTGTACTAAATTACATAGATGTTGATTTATGTTAAAAAAAAGAAAAAAAAAACAAGTACTTTAAAAAAAATCACACATACGCTTGTACACACACAACACATACAAAGTGATAAGGTAGCAAAATACATACTAAAGCCAAATAAAAGATGTAGAATTAGAATTATTAAAGTATATGCCCCGACATCAGATATGGTACATTGTAAGCCTCTTCGCTAACGACTATCCAACTCCTAATGTTAAAGAACAAAGCTCATTCATTCTAACCAACATGCATATGTTTCTTATATCTGCACTGATTGTAATACAGTAATAATCGTGTCTCGTCTTCCATACTCTTATTTTGTCCTGTGAATATCAACTTTTCAGAGGCTGGAGAGAGCGAGTTCTTTACATGGCAAGTGCATTTGTCAGCTATGTCCGTGTTCAATGATTAGATAAAATATCCGCTATACTTTTGAGAATAAATGGTGTTCATTCATTTGAATATTTGGATTAGCTTTTTCCATACGAAAATCTATGATGCGCATTCACAGTTGTTATTTACGTTTAATGTAAAACCATCGGAAGGAATGTGTGAATATGAAGTCAAGCGGAATGCATTCAAACAGCATTTTCCAAGTGAAAACTACCAACGTAGTAATTGTTTTCAGAGTTATCTAGCATATTTGTGATCTTACTGTACAATATCTTTATTACTAGTAATTATATAATAGTACATGACTTCTTTCTACTCATAATCTTAACTTACGACAGATGGCCTAATAAGAATTAATTACAAATATAACTAATATAACTAACTGACATGCTCTGCACAAGTGCATTAGAGTCATTGGGTGGCGCTATAATGATTGCGTCATGCTTCAGCTCGCCTTAGTAACATTAAAATCTTTTCCTTTACTTTTGCTAACACATGTAAAAAGTTGTCGAACGACACGCAGTTAAAATCTGTCCGGATCACACGCACACATATGATACTTTACTTACCACTTGTGGCTTTCTTTGATTGGTCTTCCATTGTTGATCACCAATAATAGTACAAAAGAATGATACACAGTTGTGCGTAGGACAACAAGAACAGCAACGAACAAGGGATTGAGGGAAAGGCAGGAGAGAAGTCTTAATAATTGTTCATTTTTACTTACTGCCTCGATTTCGGGCAACATTTCATGCACACAAACTTTCGTCTGGTCCCCAACTCTAGGTAACATTTCTCGCTCGCCCGCTCGGACGTTCGCTCTTCCTTTCAAACTAGGTGTATTGAAGAAAAATCTTATTCATGGAAAAAAAAAATTCACAGTGTGTAGCCTATGAAAATCAAGTAACATTCCACACGCAAAAAAAAAGAAAAGAAAAAAAGGTATCTCCCTAACGCTTGCTAAGAACATTTCCCACGTTTACAAATTATTATTCATACTATATATACCAAATTCAGCATTAGATTCTTTAGTTAAACGGTCACCTTCATATGATCAACAATTAATAACAGGACAAAAGATAAATAAATAAAAATAAATAATTCGGAGAATTGACTGACGATCTTTCTGATAGAGTAGTTCGAGAGTAAGTCTGTGCTTGATGCAGTCATTTAAAACGAGTGATATTGAAGCCGGATTTATAGGATAGTATGGTTAACGAGAAATGGGTGTTAAAGGGCGTATGAACCCCTCATTCAGGGTATACGTGTATGTAAGAGAATACTGAAAATTTGGAGCTAAAGTTGATCTCCCTTCTACGCATTCATATAATGAGTCAAATTAGCCAGGGCGTATCAACACCTCATTCAGGTTATACGTGTATGGAAGAGATGACAGAAAATTTGGAGTTAAAGTTGATCTCCCTTCTATGACCTGAAGTATGTAAGCGCACGGACGCACTTGCATAATGAGTAACATCCAAATCTATAGTCCACATTTAATAAACCTCATTACTATTATAAAACTATCATTATATCACTGTATATAATATTAGATTCTAACCAACATGCATATGTTTCTTATATCTGCACTGATTTTAATACAGTAATAATCGTGTCTCGTCTTCCATACTCTTGTTTTGTCCTGTGAATATCAACTTTTCAGAGGCTGGAGAGAGCGAGTTCTTTACATGGCAAGTGCATTTGTCAGCTATGTCCGTTTCTAATGATTAGATAAAATATCCGCTATACTTTTGAGAATAAATGGTGTTCATTCATTTGAATATTTGGATTAGCTTTTTCCATACGAAAATCTATGATGCGCATTCACAGTTGTTATTTACGTTTAATGTAAAACCATCGGAAGGAATGTGTGAATATGAAGTCAAGCGGAATGCATTCAAACAGTATTTACCAAATGAAAACTACCAACGTAGTAATTGTTTTCAGAGTTATCTAGCATATTTGTGATCTTACTGTACAATATCTTTATTACTAGTAATTATATAATAGTACATGACTTCTTTCTACTCATAATCTTAACTTACGACAGATGGCCTAATAAGAATTAATTACAAATATAACTAATATAACTAACTGACATGCTCTGCACAAGTGCATTAGAGTCATTGGGTGGCGCAATAAAAAATGCGTCATGCTTTAGCTCGCCTTAGTAACTGTAAAATCTTTTCCTTTACTTTTACTTTTTAGTGTTCCGGAGGCCCTAAAATGATTCAAGTATATGTCCCGACTTCATTTGATGAAGATGAAAATACATAATGAAAATACATAGGAACAGCATTAGAAAGACATATACACTTGTACACATAATACGTTAATAATATGGGAAATAACTGAATATTCCTAAAAGTAATTAGACAGTTTATACATGTATACATACAATTCACACATGTAAAAAGTTGTCGAACGACACGCAGTTAAAATCTGTCCGGATCACACGCACACATATGATACTTTACTTACCACTTATGGCTTTCTTTGATTGGTCTTCCATTGTTGATCACTAATAATAGTACAAAAGAATGATACACAGTTGTGAGTGGGACAACAAGAACAACGAACAAGTAATTGAGGAAAGGGCAGGAGAGAAGTCTTAATAATTGTTCATTTTTACTTACTGCCTCGATTTCGGGCAACATTTCATGCACACAAACTTTCGTCTGGTCCCCAACTCTAGGTAACATTTCTCGCTCCCTCGTGCTCTCTTTCAAACTAGGTGTATTGAAGAAAAATCTTTTTCATGGGAAAAAAATTCACAGTGTGTAGCCTATGAAAATCAAGTAACATTCCACACGCAAAAAAAAAAAAAAAGGTATCTCCCTAACGCTTGCTAAGAACATTTCCCACGTTTACAAATTATTATTCATACTATATATACCAAATTCAGCATTAGATTCTTTAGTTAAACGGTTTGTCGGGATAAAGACTATAGGAACGCTGTGAATTTAACAAAGTTAAAGTTGATCTCCCAATCAATAGCCAATACTTTAAGAAGATTCATAACATCAAGTTATCCAGCATGGTGACCTGAAGTATGTAAGCGCACGGACGCACTTGCATAATGAGTAACATCCAAATCTATAGTCCACATATAATAAACCTCATTACTATTATAAAACTATCATTATATCACTGTATATAATATTAGATTCTAACCAACATGCATATGTTTCTTATATCTGCACTGATTTTAATACAGTAATAATCGTGTCTCGTCTTCCATACTCTTGTTTTGTCCTGTGAATATCAAATTTTCAGAGGCTGGAGAGAGCGAGTTCTTTCCATGGCAAGAGCATTTGTCAGCTATGTCCGTTTCTAATGATTAGATAAAATATTCGTTATACTTTTTGTGAATCAATGCTGTTCATTCATCTAAATATTTGGATTGGCTGCTTCCATACGAAATTCTATAATACGTATTCATAGCTGTTATTTACGTTGAATGTAAAACCATCGCAAGGAATGTGTGAATATGAAGTCAAGCGGAATGCATTCAAACAGTATTTACCAAATGAAAACTACCAACGTAATAATTGTTTCCAGAGTTATCTAGTGTGTTTGTGATCTTACTGTGCAATACCTTTATTAATAGTAATTATATAATAGTACATGACGTCTTTCTACTTATAATCTTAACTTACGACGGATGGCCTAATAAGAATTAATTACAAATATAATCCCTACCTGGCATGCTCTGCACAGGCGCATTAGTGACGTTGGGTGGCGCAATAAAAATTGCGTCATGCTTTAGCTCGCCTTAGTAACTGTAAAATCTTTTCCTTTACTTTTACTTTTTAGTGTTCCGGAGGCCCTAAAATGATTCAAGTATATGTCCCGACTTCATTTGATGAAGATGAAAATACATAATGAAAATACATAGGAACAGCATTAGAAAGACATATACACTTGTACACATAATACGTTAATAATATGGGAAATAACTGAATATTCCTAAAAGTAATTAGACAGTTTATACATGTATACATACAATTCACACATGTAAAAAGTTGTCGAATGACACGCAGTTAAAAGTTGTCCGGATCACACGCACACATATGATACTTTACTTACCACTTATGGCTTTCTTTGATTGGTCTTCCATTGTTGATCACTAATAATAGTACAAAAGAATGATACACAGTTGTGAGTGGGACAACAAGAACAACGAACAAGTAATTGAGGAAAGGGCAGGAGAGAAGTCTTAATAACTGTTCATTTTTACTTACTCCCCCGATCTCAGGCAACATTTCATGCACACACAAACGTTCAACTTCTCCCCAGCTCTAGGTAACATTTCTCGCTCCCTCGTGCTCTCTTTCAAACTAGGTGTAATGAAGAAAAAAACTTTTTCATTGAAAATTTCACAGTTTGTAGCTTTTGAAAATCAGGTAACATTCCACACGCAAAAAAAAAAAAAAAAAAAAAAAAAAAATCTCCCTAACGCTCGCTAAGTAACATTTCCACACGGAAACAAAAAAGAACATGAATTTTCTCCTTCCCCTATAACTTAGAGCCCCTAATTAAACATGAGTTTTCTCCCTCCCCTCGTAACCAAAATTACTCTTCCATCTCACAGTCTGAGCCCACATATTCTTCGTTGCTTCGTTTTTTCACTCGTAATCAATTCTTCGTTGCATCCGTCCCACAAGTGATGCGCTAGATCGGAAATGCTTCATGCATGAGTCATTCCCTGCGAGGCGGACTGCACTCTCAAAACGCTACATATCCACACATTCGTATCGACCTTTTCTAACACGTCGAGGTAAATAAGTTTTAAAAAAATAAAAAGTGAGGTAATTAACAGTTTGGTAAAATTTATTTCTACATAATGAAAATGAAGAGATTGGATGATAAGGAATTAGGAAAGCTTGCTAAGATCTTTTTTTTAAGAGAAAACGCTTGGACCATTACTATCACTGTCAACGCCGCCGCCACAACCATCATCATCACCATTACCATCACCATTGTCACTGTTAACATCCCCAAATGTTATCTCGATATCAGGCTAGTAAGGAATCTGTAACATGTCTCCGTTGTACTGAATATAATCCTTTACCTTTTGAGAACACTTTTTTTCTACCGATGAGGTTATTAATAATGATTAGATCCTCTGTTTTTTATCACGTAAAAAAATAGAGCGCAACGCAGTTAAAACAAAGGTTACGGATATGTTAAGAATATTTTCGAACGTATGTGTTACTCTCAGAGATAAGAGATTACCCTTCTCTTTTCAAAAGTGCAATAGACCGATAAAGCGACGAAAACCAACTATATCGTATTTTTTATCATCATAGTACTCAGTTCATATTTTTTTCTTGTTCATTAATCTCCACGAAAGCGACGTTTGTCTTGTTATTTCTGCCTGCTACACATGTAGACATATATATACATATATTACCGATTAACATGTGTACATAACTAAATATTCAAAAAATGTTCTCTAACCCAAATATTATTAACAACAACAATGTTAGGACTAAACAGATGAAAGTGACCCCACAAGATGTTGACTGACTTTTTTACATCCTATTTAAAGTTGCGTCATGCGATAAAACATCCTTCTAAATCTAGTCTCTACAAATATATAATGCCTATAAAGATAATTCTATAAAGATAGATAAATAATTTAAAAATAACAAGTCGGAGAATTGACAGACGATCTTTCTGATAAAGTAGTTCGAGAGTAAGGCTGTGCACGATGCAGTCATTTAAAACGAATTGTGTATATTGAAGCCGGTTTATAGGATAGCATGGTTATTTATATACGATTCTAATCGTATTTCTTTTATGTTTATGATAAGACTGTAATAAAACAACTTTTATTTTATTTGATGAATTTTTTATTTTAATTTCGCTCCCTGCCCAGGCGCGTGAATTTGCAATTGTCGCCTGGAGGTTACTGCTGTATCTGAACCACGGCGAGTTAGGACAAAGCCGAGTCAGCACCAGCTGACATACATTAGCGAGTCGGCATTAATCGACACAGGCCGGGCTCCCCTCATAGCCCGGGCGAGGCTCAGTTTCGCATATCAGACTTATCCTTATCTCCTGGTCCAGAGACCAGGAAAACAAAGTTAAAGTTGATTTTGTGTTATGATGAGACTAATAAATCAACTTTAATTTCATTTGATGCCATTTTATTATATATATATTACATGAACGCCTCAGTAAGATTTCTTGCATTCTCTATGTTGTACGTATGTTTACATCTACGATTTTAGAGCTACACTGATTCGCATATACAAATCGATGCGTTTCCTGTAGTCTTTTTAGTGTGTAAACACAATGAATAATCCTTTACGAGTATTTTGTATTGAATATCGTTAATATGATAAGCGCTTGTTTGTTTTTTATTATTAGCGATTAGTTTATTTTCATATTGTCATCATTTTTTGGTTCATTAGCTGGAGATTTTGCATTACATTTTAATAACTCGCTACTGTAGACACTATCATGCATATCGCTAACAATCGATTATGGTAATCTTTGCATCATACGCATGTTAGTCAAAAGTGTATTTGTACCACACAGACTAGATAGACTAACATGTGTACCCGACTGAGTTTTACTACCATAGAGCGGCACACCAAACAGGAGAATACGTTGCGGAAGCCCATTATATTTTCCATGACAAGCTGCGTATACTCTCATCCATATTTTTGTTTCGTCATAAATGTTACGTTGTGTAATGGTACACTTCTACCATAATGCTTATTATCTTCTTAAATATTTTTGTCTTTACTAATTTTACCAACCACTGGGGCGATACATTTTAAGTTGCATAATGTAAAGGACTGTAATATACGTGTAGCGTGGCCTAATCAGCTTACGCGATTACTGATATGCGTTTGCGTTGTCTTCTTTCTTATTAATTAACATGAATAATCTCTCCTTATGTGTGTTCCTGGAATATCTCCCAACTCTTCAATAAAGGTTTCGCTTCAACATGTGATAGAGGCCGATATGCACACCACATTACCAGTATTCACAAACTATCAGTAAAATTCGTATTTTCCAGTTCAGCTTGGGTATCTGAATTAGATTTTCTTACAGGTAGATTGATTATTATCATCTATGGGACAGTTTTTATCTCGTTTACAGATTTTAAGACAAAGGTATCTTTCGTTATATTCTGCGCGTGTCAGCCTTGATCGACGGGGGTTCTATACCCAAAAATACCGTACTATATGAAGCGTGCGAACTGGTGAGGTAACCCAGCTGTTCAGACGGATTCCTGATTAATGACTGTCATTCCGAGGTCAGGTCAAGACGGGAAATGCGCGGTGAGAATTGAAATAAATGAAATGATATTAGTGAAAACAATAAAATGACGAACGCGCTAAATTCGTTGTAGCTGAAACAATATAAATCTAATGATGAGAATTATATTTGTTGACAACATACCGTGATCACACAGTAATGCGATCTAAAGTCAGAAAAAAGTGAGAACGTGCCATTTGCTGTCATTTAGCAGTTTTAGCCAATAAAACCAATGCCAGAGTGACTGCACATACGGCTTAACACATTTATGGGAGAAGATAGGGAAAAGAAAGGAAAAGGCCCAAAGCATATACTCACGTGGTTTTGAAGACATGTGGAACCGAT